TACTTTTTGGTATTTGTATGCATTGAATTAATCTTATTGGACGGCTAGTTATTTATATGTTTTTGAATCGGGCTACGTTAATTTGTAAAAGTTACGAATGAAATGTCATTAGTTGTATTTATGTAGTGTTGCTGTAAATATTAAAAAATTTAATTATGGTACAGAACCGAACCGAACCGAACCGAACCCGAACGGTTCCATAATTATATTTGGACCCGACGGTTCCATTTATTAAATACCCGAAAATTTTGGGTCGGTTCGGGTATCTTCAGACCCGAATCGAACCGACCCACGGATAGCCCTAACCAGATCTTTCAGACCGCCCAAATATCTCCATGATTATCATTAAAATTTGATATCTCATGGTACACATTCTTCATCTTATTCTCCTTATCACATTGCAAATTTTATCTCATATAAAAATATTTCAAACTCTCACAAAAATTTTGCCTTATCCATTTCCTCACATCTTGAACCTCAGTTTTTTCATCAAGCTGTTAAATTCCCTCAATGGTGTGAAGCCATGAAACTCGAGTTACAAGCTATGGAAGATAACCATACATGGTCCATTGTGCAATTACCACCTGGAAAGCATACTGTAGGTTGCCGGTGGATTTACAAGAATAAATTCAGGTCTGATGGTTCGCTTGAGAGGCATAAGGCACGCCTAGTTGCTAAGGGGTATACCAAACAGGAAGGGCTCGATTATTTTGACACTTTCTCACATGTTGCAAGAGCAGTCACTGTCAAGTTGATGCTGACACTTGCAGCTCACTATGGTTGGCATTTGATACAATTAGATGTGAATAATGCGTTTTTGAATGGGGATTTATTTGAGGAAGTATATATGGACCTCCCACTTGGATATGATTTGCTTAAGTCATCTAATCAGGGGGAGAAATTGGTGTGCAGATTACACAAATCTATTTATGGTCTGAAGCAGGCTTCGAGACAATGGAATTCTAAGTTCACTCATTCTCTTTTACAGTATGGTTTTACACAGTCGAAAGGAGATTACTCTCTTTTTACAAAGGGATCTGGTCTGAACTTTGTGGCTCTACTGGTGTACGTGGACGATATAGTACTGACTGATCCAAACATTAAGGTGATTAATTCTTTGAAAGCTTTTTTACAATCACAGTTTAAGCTCAAAGACTTGGGGATCTTGAAATATTTTTTGGGAATTGAAGTGGCAAGATCGTCTTCTGGAATTGTTATTCCCAGAGACAGTATACATTACAGCTGCTGGAAGATACTAATTACTTGGATTGCAAACCAGTGAGTACCCCCATGGATCCCAAGCTTGTTCTCAGTCTACATGAAGGGGACTTACTACTTGATGCGTCTCATTATAGGCGATTGATTGGGAAGCTTTTGTACTTAACTTTGTCACGTCCTGATATCACCTTCGCTGTCCATAAATTGAGTCAGTATGTTTCTCAACCAAGAACGACACATCTAAAGGCCGTTCATCACTTGCTGAGATACTTGAAAGGACATCCTGGACAAGGTCTTTTATTCTCATCACAACTCAGCCAAAATGCAGACATCAACATTAAAGCCTTCTCAGATGCTGATTGGGGATCGTGCGTTGACACTCGAAAATCCACCACAGGTTTTTATATTTTTGTTGGCAACTCAATGATCTCTTGGAAATCCAAAAAGCAGCCTACTATCTCTCGTTCTTCCGCAGAGGCAGAGTATAGAGCACTTGCCTCAACCATGAGTGAAATCATATGGATTAGGCAGTTGTTAAATGACTTTCATGCCTGCACTTCAGCACCAGCCGTCCTCTATTGCGATAATCAAGCTGCTATCCAGATTGCTTCCAACCCTGTTTTCCACGAAGGAACGAAACATATTGAGGTGGATTGCCATTTCATCTGTGACAAGATCAGTGTTGGCATAATCAAGCTACTTCCAGTTCGATCAAGGCATCAACTAGCTGATCTCTTCACCAAGCCTTTACCTCCTTCTAATCTCGACTATTTGCTATCCAAGATGTGTGTAAAAGACATTTACGCACATCTTGAGGGGGAGTATTAGAAATGCTAATTTCTTGTATTTTGCTGTTATTAGATAGTTAGCTTGTTATTAGAGTATTAGTTACGTTTCCTCTTTCTTTTCAGCTGGAAGTTAGTTATGCCAGCTGTTGTATTTTTTCCCGCCTTTTTCTCTTGTTTTGCCTTTTTAATCTGTAGCTTCCTGCACTTTTTACCCAAGCAAATAATAAACATTTTTCCCAAATTGTTCTTCCTCTCGATTTCAATAGAAAGAGTTGATGGATTCAGACAAAAATGAGTCACTCAGAAAACACAAAGAAAAGGAGGCAGAGGCAAGGCAAAGATAAGCCAAGGTTGTTCCTCCATTATTGTTGATAAGTGTATTTTATACCTTTATTTGTGTTTCTATTCTTGTTTATTTATTGCTAATTGCGCGGAAATCTACCTAATTAGTGTAAAATACGTTAACTATAGGGAAAATTCCGAATTGGATGCAATTGACATGAAAAAGGTTTTTTCGGAGCAAAATGGGAGTTTATTCAAAACAATTGGAGATCAACAAATTGCATTTCATCAATTAAAAGCTTGTGAGCCGGCGAGCTAACTTGCTCACGAACTTGTCTACTCGTAATTGATGAGTGAAATACAATTTTCACTAAAAAGAATTGGTGAGCCATGAGTTGCTCGACTCTCGCTACCAAGGGGCAAGTTGAGCCCATATTTGGTGAAAGCAGGACGGCTTGCATGGTGGGTCGAGGCGAGTCCTACGATGTACCAGCAGAGTGGCTCGACTTGGTCATTTTAAAACCCCTAATCGTTTGCCAAGTTTCTACCCATTCACTACATATCAGAGCTTTGCCATTTTAGGCCCCCTCTTGGGGTTGTCTTCCTTTTTTGGATGGAAAATTTGTACAAGTGGAAATTACATGGAACCCTACTTTTGGAGATCTAAATTCCAAATTCAGATTTTAAGTTTTAGTTTGCAAAAATCAGATATTTTTATATAGATACAAGTTTTTTATATTTAATTAAATATTAATAATAATATTATAAAAATTCATTTATATACACCCCAACTTACCCCACCCAAGTTAAAATCCCTAATTTCTCACCCCCTCTCTCTCTCTCTCTCTCTCTCTCTCTACATCCTCGCACCCGTCGCCGCCCCCCCTCTCTCTCGGAACATTTCTCCACCGCCGGCACGATACCGGTGGAACGGATGCGATCTGCCCATAGGAGCTCACCCGAGCCAGAAGTCTCCAGCAGGTGCTCGATCTCATCATTTTACACGTCAACAGCGAGCACCTTGTGCAGTGTCTCGCTCATGAGCTTCTCGCAGAGATGTGAACTGATGAAGCCGCCAACGCCGATCATGCAAATAGTAATAGATTTTATTGGATTCCTGTCCAGATCTACTCTTCCACTCGCCATTTTTGAACTTCGCACTAATTTCTTCGATAATACAGATTGGGTGATTCTGCTAATCGTTGGTGGCGTTGTGGGTCTGCTGGTGGCGCTGGATTATCTTCTAAAGGCGACGGGCAGGTTGGGTTGATAGTTGGGGGCGGTGTGAATCTGTGTTGGTGCGTGGGGGAGAATGGATGCATTTAAAGGTAGAAATGGAGGGAGGATAGTTTCTCAGAGTCCGTGGCCTTACTTCAAGCATTTTCACACGTCTCAGTTTGGTAGTTTTTGATGTGGTGGTTGTCTGTGGATTCTTTGGTGGGGGATGGTGTAAACGGAGATAGTTTTTGGTTTGCCGTGGTTTGTGGTGGTGCGACGGAGAGGGCTATTAGATTTAGTTGCGGCAGTTCAATGGAGTTCTCAGTTCGGTGTATCTGGAATTTTTAGGCTTTTTTATTGGTGGTGATTGGTGTTATGTAAACGATTAAACGGTGGTGGCGGCGATTGTGCAGATTTTGGATCTTTGTTTTGCTGTGGTTGTGCAGTGATTTTGGTGGTGGCGGTCGTGTTGGTGCCGGAGATTGTCATGGTGTTTGGTTTGCCGTCGATTGGTGAGGCAGGCTGTGTTGGCGACGTTAGTGATGATGGTTGTGGTGAGTTGCCGGCTATGGTAGCAGCGACATACTAGGGTTAGGGCGTATAAGACGGTGATGGTGGCGAGGTGGTGCTGTATAGTCTCTGTGACCAATGCTGTGACCTGAGCCATGTGCTGTGACCGATGTTGTGACTATCAATAAAAACCTGAGCAATGCCCAAAAAATATTCCGTGACCTGTGCTGTGGCCATTTGAAATAAACTTGTGACTATTAACCAGAATCTGAGTCATTTGAAAATAAAATGGGACTATGAACAAAATCGTGAGCCATGTGCAATATATTTTGTGACTTGTGCTGTGACCATTTGAAAATAATATGTGACTATTAATAAAAATGTGAGACGTGAGCCTTATTGTGTTATCAATTATTATAAACAAAAAATCATGTGTTGTGACATGTGACCTTGGCTGTGACCTGGACTGTGACTTGTGACCTTGGCTGTGACCTGGGCTGTGACCGTACAAAAAAGTCATGTCATCGGAATAGTCGTCGGAATCGGAGCAGTCGCCGGAATAGTCACCGGAATCGGAGTGGTCGCCGGAGAAGTCGTCGGAATCGGAGACGTCGCCGGAGTGGTCGCCGGCGTGGTGGGGTGGTGGTGCTGGGGGTGGGTTAATTTTATATATATATTATATATTTATTTATTTATTTATATCTTTTTATATATTTAAATAAATAAATAAATATTTATAAATATGTGTATATATAGGTCAAAAAATCTGATTTTTGAAATGTAAAAGTTGTTTTGTTATTTTTGAAATAGGGTAAAGATAAAGTAGGGAAAGTGAATTTTTCCCTTTGTACTATTCATCTCTAACCATTTGTTTTAGTGGTAAATTGCTCGCTAACATAAGAAACAATGAAAATTAAACTATTATGATCTTGAAAATTAAATTAAAAGGTCATATATAAATTATATCGTTTGTCCTAATATCCCCGTCTTTTACTTTGATTATTCATTTTCGAGTCTCTACTCTCTAGTGATGGAAACACTATCTTCATTAATTTATCTTTTAGAAATCAAGCTCCTTCAAAAATTTTATATATCAGTCCGAGATGAGATGAAAAGTACTTAAAAAGTTGAACTTTTTAGAATTGTGTTATCAATAGAGATTTAAACGGTTTACACAAGAAGGAAGTTGTCAAAGATTAAATTTGATGTTAAATTGCTTTGACTTGTAATTAACCAATGGAAAGTCAACTTTTCATTTTTAATAAACTCACCTAAAGTTCTTGAAAATTAAACGTGGAGTTTACCAATTTGCTAAAATAAAAGCTTAGGAGGAAGTGAAAGAGAGTACATGTTACGTAAAAGTATTGAAATATCCATAACAAAATTAAAAATTAAAAATAATTCTAATTAAAAAAATCTACTTTTTTTTTTTTTGACGTAGGAACCCGCAGTCGCTACCCGGCAGCGAAGCTCCGACCACTGTGAGTGCGCACTAGATAAATCATGCTCCATGTGCAGTAACACGCAAACCATACAGGGGAGGTAAACCGCACTAGACAAGCCCGACGCGACGGGTTCGATCGAGGAAGTGTTGATGTGGATTCAAACTTATGACACTTGATCTCCACGTTCACCTACTTCACCAACTCGATCACATCCGTATGGAAAAACAATTCTACTTTAAATGTGACAACTTTGTGACTCACGTGGTCTAAAGATATTTTTGGTGCTTTAATTGATAAATTGAATTCCAACCACCCAAGGTAGTAGGTACACGGAATTAAAAGGGGTGGCAAAATATAGCAACGTATTCAATAATTCATTTTTTTATATTCATTTTCAATCACACATTTTATCAATAAAATAATTTATATATAAATTTAATTTTTTAACTTTTTAACCATATATTCTTTAAAAAAGTACTATTATAAAAATTTCTTTTTTTTTTAAAACCGCACATTTTTTAAAAAAATTACTAATTTTTTCATTATAATTTGGAATTGGGTGGGAGTGGGGGGCGGGGACAAACTTTTTTATTTAGAAGTCAAAAAAATATAAAGGACAAAGTTGTTGGGATTCTTTATGGCTATATTCTCTCATTCTTATTAATGAATTCATCTACCTTCCATCGTCGAGCCCCTTCACACTTACAATCAAACACGGCAGCCGCACCATTCTGATCTTTCGTGATATACTGATGAGTTCATCTACCATGGCTGACACCATTGTGCTTTATCCCTCTCCCGGAATGGGCCACGTGATTTCCATGGTGGAGCTCGGGAAACTTCTCCTCAAGCACCGCCCTTCATTCTCCATAACTATCTTCATCACCACCGGCGCCACCTTACCCTACGTAGACCATGTCACTGCCACCACCTCTTCTATCACCTTCCACCACCTACCTGCCGTCGAACTTCCTCCCACCTCCATCTCTTCCGAAGAACTCGCCTACGAAATTCCCCGCCTCAACAACCCATACGTCCACCAAGCCCTTCAGAATATATCCCAGAAATCTAATCTCGTAGCCTTTTTCATAGATTTCTTCTGTAATGCTGCTTATCAAGTTTCTTCGATACTTGGAATTCCTACTTATTATTTCTTCACTACATGCGCTTCTGCGCTTTGCCATTTCTTGTATATTCCAACTCACCATGAAACCATTACAAAAAACATCGAAGATCTACATGATTATCTTCAAATTCCAGGCATCCCACCAGTTTATTCCCAAGATATGCCAAAAGTAATGTTCGACCGTGAAAGTAAAATATACAAATTGATCTTAGAAACTGCAACACAGATGGGAAAATCATCTGGGATTTTGGTAAATTCTTGTGCAGCTCTTGAATCAAGAGCAGTGAAAGCATTATCCGATGGTTTATGTATTCCAAATGAAAAATCGCCGCCTATATACTGTGTTGGGCCTTTGATTGCAAGCAATGATGGAGGCAGTAAGAGTGATGAACATGAGTGTTTGAGTTGGTTAAATTTACAGCCTAGTAAAAGTGTTGTTTTTCTGTGTTTTGGGAGTATGGGATTGTTCACAGCGGAGCAGCTGGCGGAGATGGCGGCGGGGTTAGAAAATGGCGGCCACAGGTTTCTTTGGGTGGTGCGTAATCCACCATCGGAGGATGAAACCAAGACAACAGCACAGCTAGACTTGGATGCATTGTTACCACAAGGTTTTCCTTATCTAAAAATTAAAGTTTAGTCAATCATGCTGCCACGTCCTTTACATTATTTTTTATACTTTCACACGTGGCACTATATCATTACAGTTTGAAAAATAAACAAATTTCACATCAAATGTCAAATTAGATGTACACTCCTAGCATTTTTGAAGCTTAGTAATTTGTAGGCGGCAATTTTTAAATCTTATATTCACTAGAATTAATTTGCTTGTCCAAGGTCAAGGATCGATCCAAAAACAGGGGCTGATCACCTCAGCCCCTGATTTGAAAAAAAGTGCCCCACACGAATTCAAATCAAGGGCTGAGGTGATGGCACCTCATCCCCCTGTTTTTGAGTCGATCTCTGACCCTGTTTGAACAGTACGGTTGTATTGACTATCCTGCAAGTCGAGTTCATTTTGTTCTTGTAAAAGTGAAAAATATGCATAAAGTTTACTAATTGGTTGGCGGCAATATTTAGTAAATGGGGACGGCAAGATATGAATGTTCAGCCCTATAATTTAACCTTGTATTTGAATCTAATTTTGAGGAGAATAGAAATTTTGGAATAGTGATTGATGTGAGAATGTGTGGTGAAAAGGTTACGAAAAGTTTTTGATTTGTGTGTAATATTATTTTATTTGAAGAATATGTAGTTGAAATGAAAAATGAGAAATTAACAGGGTGTCAAACGGGGTATAATTATCGTGTAAAAAAATTTCATTTGGCAATCAATTTATATATAATTTATAAATTCAGTCAAATTAAAATATTTGACGTCACACATTTAGCCTCTGTTTGTTTTCGATTTCAAGCAAAATTTGTATCGTTGCTCCAGTGTTATAGCCACAATATGACTTCTTTGTGTCACAGTGGTGCCACAATTTTGAAAAAAAAAAGGTCAAAAAGAGTCTTTTTCTTATTGAAATAATTGGAAACAAACAAGGGCTTAGTAGATTTCACTATTATCCCTCTTGTAATTTGTCTTTAAAATAATTTATAAATTTGTCGAATCAGAGTCAATCTATTAGAGACACGTAAAATCTATTTATTTAAATTTTGTCTTTGACAGGTTTCTTGGAAAGAACTAAAGATAAAGGGTTGGTGGTGAAGTCATGGGCGCCACAAGTGGAGGTGCTGAGTCATGACTCGGTAGGCGGGTTCGTGACTCATTGTGGTTGGAACTCTGTTCTGGAGGCTATTTGTGCTGGTGTACCAATGATAGCCTGGCCACTGTATGCGGAGCAAAGGATGAATAGGCTTTTCATCGTGGACGAAATGAAGGTGGCATTGGGTTTGAATCAGGATGCCAACGGGTTCGTGACAGCTGCTGAATTGGAAATGCGAGTCATAGAGTTGATGGACTCAAAGAATGGGAAAGCAGTGAGGGATCAGGTTATGGCTATGAGAAATTGCGCCAAGCTTGCAATTCAAGATGGTGGTTCTTCCCATTTAGCCATGGAAATGCTCATTGAGTCATGGACAAAGGGGTAAAAATCTTAACCAGATCTTAATTGCTATAATTGTTCCATCATGTCCAGTTCAACGATTGATCGTAATTTGCTAGAATTGCTTCAGAATGTAATAATGCATTAAATATTTAGTACATGTTTTGTTACGTATCATCCTACTGGGCTCCCATTATTGATCACATGACAACCACCTAAGAACTTGAAGCTTGCACTCCATATCACTTGTTTTCTTGACCTATTTGTGGTCATCAAATAGAGAAAGTCAAAGTGATTCCTTTACCTCATTAGATGCAATATGTAGAGGCCAAAAAATCCATGATCGAAGTAAGGTGCCACAATATGCTACAACCTTCTTTCGAAGCAAAAAACCTTTGATTTCGTAAGGCATCTTTCACAACTTCATCTCATTCAAGAGATCTCCATACTTTTTTCATAGCAGGCTTTTTCTGACTTCTAAAGAAAGGACTTTTTCTTTGATTTTGCAATAAAGACGAATTTGAACTTCTTTCTTCCTTATAATAGAAAAAAAGTCACTAAACTTATCGAATTAACTTCTCATTGATGTATTGTTTCATCGAGATTCAATCAAAATCATGATGGTATTTTCTAGTTCCTGAATGGATCTCTTTCATCTTTTTAGGTTTATGCTCTACTCCGTCAAGGTTTAGAACACTGGTTTTTATGTGAAAGAGTTGATGTGGTTATTGTTGGATGAAGGTCACACAACTTCATCTTAATGGTCGATGTATCATCATCATATGTGTCATTTCTACAATCTTAAGTTCGGATATCATTTATTGATTTTTAAAAAGTGATCATCATATGGCCTAGGTCAAACATTTGAAATAGGTTGATAATTTGACTAAGAGACGTCAAATCAATCCTTCGTATGGAAGATTCCTGTTTGGTATTTGTAAAGAGATCCTATTTGTCAAGTGAGGGAATCTCAAACTAAATACTTGGTGAAAGGTATGGAATGAATTGAAAAAAAAAGAAAGTCATAACAAAAAGAAATGTTAATGAGAAGATTTGTCCTATATGTGCAAATCAAAATCGGGCAGATCTTTACTTGGAGTAGAGTATAAACCTAAAAAGATGAAAGAGACCCATTCAGGAATTAGAAAATACCTTCATGATTTTGATTGAATCTCGATGAAACAATACATCAATGAGAAGTTAATTCGATAAGTTTAGTGACTTTTTTTCTATTATAAGGAA